GCTGCTGCTGCCGCCGATACCGTCGCACACGCTTCATGTTCCACCAACTAGTTCGAGGATGAAGTTCGCGACGGAATCCAGGAAGCGGCTCGGTGAACTGCTCTTTTTCTCTCTGAGAGAACATACTGTTGGGCTATAGTCGGTTTGTTACGTTCAATGAAGTCATGGTGCGGATGAAACACGGACTACTGAAAGTACACGTCCTGTACTCTTTCTGTGGTCTCTGTTTTGTCAGTGCTATGGCTTCACTGAACGTTTTTTTTTTTTTTTCCAGGAGTAGGATGCAGGCGTGAATCGAATTACTCGTTCGAACGCACCGACTCACGGTTAGAAGATATTCGAGGATATTTCGGGCCAGCATCAGGATGTGCTCTGGCTCCCTATTAATTTTTCGCCGCCTCAGATTTTCTAACGTGAGCGTAAATTCGAGGACACCAGTGCTTTGTTGCCTTTCCGTCCCCATCGTATATTGCAGCCGCCGCGGCCGACGATTGAAACCGCGTCCTCAATCTTAGCAGCTAACACCTCAGTCGCTATAAGCTACCGCGAGGAGTTAGCAAACACTCGGTCCTCATTTTCTTCTGCATATGGGAAGACATGTACATTGAGAACAATCTATAGAACGTCGTATTCTCAAGGCCTCCCCCCAAGTGTAGGGTACACAACCTAGCCAAGCTTGGTTAACCTCCCTGCCTTTCCTCTCCATTACTCTCTCTCTGTGTGTGTGTCTCTGTCTCTCCAAGGCCGCCAAAGCGAACACGTGTCTTCGAAATTACAAGCATTGCGCAATTAATCCGCTCAATTATTAACGAATCGTATGGTGTTACGGTGGTAGCATCTATTTCGCCTCCGCAATTAGCTATACACTTGTGACTGTAACGGCTGCATTACGCCATGTGACTTTTTTTTTTCCAGGGGCAGTTGGGTATAATAGCGTTGATGAACCAGGTGAAATCAGTGCGCACTTGGTGGTTTGATTAATAGGATTTTCTCGTAACCACGTATCTCGCCGAAACGCGATAAAATACTTCTTATAGATGAGAGTACTTTCGCTGCTCTTTGCTGCTTGTATTCGCGTGCGTCGCGCTGATATATGAGGAAAGTCTGATGCAATTTCACCGCGTGTTGATTCTCAACGAAACGCGACAGCAATCTGGCGAAGCCGTAATTACTGGTGCGTGAAGTTTTTACGCGCGAAACGCAGGAGGCGCTCTGGCGAAACAAATTGAAGCTGTTACTCGAGATCTAAGTATAGCCATGCCGGCAACAGTTAGCGCTGCGATACTTCATTACGCTTACCACTCTGGCGTGAGTTGCTTGGCTACTTATATTATTCTTGGCTATCCTACAGCATGCATACACCCGCTATTGGAAACAAGCTACACGATGTGCGACTCGGTGTCAATTTCATTTCTTGCTTTTCTCTCAATTAGACCGCTCCTAATTTCCTCGAGATCTTTTTTTTTTGTTTTGGCTATACGTGGAAAGTATAGCCAAATTCTTCGTGCTGCCCCTGTAATATTCAAATCTGAAGTGATTCCGGCCCATTATATATATCATTCTCGATACGGTCTCTATTAAACTAATATCTTTTGTTCGTCTACTTATTTTAATCAGACCGTGGCGGGCGCGACAACTATAACACTTCTTTCGTGTGTTTACCTGCGTACAGAATTCACAGACTACTACAGTATTACAGACAAGTACAATAATAATAGGAACAGCGAATGATATCAAGGAAAGTATAGGGGATGTTATTAGGAGTAAGTGTGATGCAAAAGTGAAGAAAAAGTGGCAGGGACCAAAGCTACATGTGTTTACCTGCGTACAGAATTCACAGACTATAGTACAGTATTACAGACAAGTACAATAATAATAGGAACAGCGAATGATGTCAAGGAAAGTATAGGGGATGTTATTAGGAGTAAGTGTGATGCAAAAGTGAAGAAAGAGAAGTGGCAAGGACCAAAGCTGTACTACAACATTTGAATAACACGTCCGATGCCTTACCACTGAACTACAGTGGTGGTTATCTCCCGTCCACTTTATAGGGTATATATGTGCGTTTAAACGTGTGAGCGTCTGTCAGCGCCGCCGGTTGCCATTACGGCGAGTTTAAGAACTCTCTTTTTCGCCTGTTGGCGTCACATAGCACGTGGTCTGATTACGAGCTAGTAGCTCAGGAATAATCCCTCGCATGCTACCTGAAGGCATCACGTCTGCCAGAACGAGGCATTATTGATTATATTCAAGAAGTCGACGTTATCGTAGCTTTGCTGAACACGTACGGGTCGTTTCATCACATGCGATCAGCGTTGAGAAAGCTATGGGGCGTGCCTACTACAGGTTAATATGCACAAAGTATGCATAACCAACATGGCATTTACGAGCCTTGCGCTACTTAATGACCTTATGACAGCGCTGAAGGGCAAATTGATGATGGAGACATCTTCAGTCGTGTTCAAAGTGACAATATTTTTTACTCAGCACGTGACTTTAAGGACACGTTTATTCATGTTTATACAAATGTTCTGAGACATTTGCAGTTCGTTGATATTTGTTCCTGCATAAACGTAATTTGTCGTGGTTTGTTGAATTTTATTTATTTATTTGTGTGTTAGTTTTTTTTTTTGTTTGCTAATGTATGCGGTAAGCTTGTGCGGTCGGATCAGTGAGCATTCAGAAACAAGGTTGAAGAGATGTAGCCTTCGTAACCCTTTGTATTCTGTGCCCACTTCAGTTGCGCAAGTACCCCTTTTTCGGGTATATATTCAATAAATTAATAGGCGAAAATGGGAATATCCCGAAAACCAGAAAAAATGGCTTTATTTATAGCAAAAAACAAGTCTTCTAGTGGGCACAAGGAGACACGACGTCCGCAAATATTAGGATGATTTTCACTTATTGCTTTAAGGAAAACAAAAACAAACATTTTTTCGTTGTAATTTTCTCCTTGAGGCTTCAGTAGCCCCTTGTTGCCTTGCTTCGATAAAACTTTTTTTCAAGATTGCAATAATTAAAAAAACATTTGAACACTGAAATAAGATAATTTTACATTTATAGACGTTGCTGCTGTGCAACTAACGAAGCAGTTTTCATGAAATAACCTGTGTTCAATGAAAGTATAATGACATTGCGCTAAGTCATGCGAACGTAATGTTGGCATGCCGGCATCATTCTTATCTGAAGATAATTGCTGCTCCACTGGTATTCAAGAATTATTTGCACCATTAAAATATAGTTTGTACGCCACTGTCACTTTATCGAAGGTCATATGCACGAAGTTGAGGCATACTCATTTAATACGTTCTCTGGCAAATAAGTGGCTGAAAATTAGCGTTCATAGCTTTCTTGACGATGAAGTACCAACTCGCCCAAACGGTGGCGTTAGTCATTGAAAATTTAGTTTTTTTTGTGTGTCTTGAGTTTTTCGCAGTCACGCACAATAACTTTCACAGATGTCTCCATAGCCATCCTTCAAACACCGATCCGCCAGACTTTCTGTTTCAAATGCCGCCAACAACGTTCAAAGCCGGTAGCGCATTTTGTCACCGCTATGCGCATCTATTTCTTCGCATCTATTTGAGCGGGAAATCAGAGCCAGGCTCGAGATAAGGACATCTTTCGAGCACAACTTTTTCTACTACCCTGCGTGGCATCGTAGCATATCGTTCACCATGCGGCTGCTCGAGTCATCACGAATCTGCAACGCGAAAGAAATAGAGTCCCCCGGAAAAAGAAGCAGAATTGAAGTCGTGTGCCGACGATTCACTGAGGATACCCGCGAGCGCGTTACTGCAGCTACGGGCAAGAAAGAGAAAAGTGTTATCCGTAAAGCGGTCACCCGAGATTACACGCTCTTGAATAACAACGTTATCTCTCTTCTTCTTTTTCGAGTGGAGAAACTGACACGTGTTCCGCCCTCCCGTATACCGATCGAATCACCTGAGGCTCGGTTCGAACCGGTGGAAACTGTTCTGCATCTCTTGAAGTTGCCCGATCCTTTCCTCTCGAAAGCTTTTGGCTGAGGACATTACGCGCGATCCACTTGTCCCTGATGAGTTCCGATAGCAGTGCTCGCTTGCTGGTGCACTCCTCTGCGGCCTCCCACTGAAGAAGAGCGAGCGAAAGGACCAAAGCAACAGTTGAGCACCTTGCACGCGCGCTGTGCGAACACTTACAAATGCGCTTATGATGCACGTGATAGTATAGTTTGCACTCTATTCAATCGTTCCCCGATCGCGTCCTCGCCTTTGGTATTTTTTTTTCTCACTTGACGAGAAAGTTCTTTGTTATCGTGATCGGACGTCCGCTCGACAACCGATCGTGTTGGCCTTGCGCTAAAGGCTTTGCTTATCGGAGCTCGTTCAGCATTGCACTGGTGTTACGTACGACCGCAGCATCTTTGCAAAACGGTGGCGTATCTCGGTTGCCGACAGCAACAGAACAACGTATAGTTGTGTCGTGCTTTATTAGATGCGCAAATATGATGAAAGGGGCGATGCAGTTTGGCGCAATCAATCAATCAATCAACCAACCAACCAATCAATCAATCAATCAAAGTGGTGACGCAATATACCATTCAGGGCGCCTACTACGGTATTTATCATTCTGCCAGATATGTAGTACATTCACTGGTAAGAGAGGCAGGAAAAGTTCAGGTGTTTTGATGCCACGTGATTAGATAATCGGAATTATTGGGACAATATCTGATGCGCAAGCGTATTGCTTTCTTGATCCCCTGAACCTATCATTACTGATCACTATACTTCCGCTCCCCTTCTGTTGTTCTCATTTCCCAGAAGCCAGAAGCTACAGTGCACCTGCCTACTATAAAGGCTGGCCTCTCAGAGTTTTCTTTACATGAAATCTGAATCATAATTACGCATAAAGAGCGAATATGTCCAGCTAAAAAAAATGTGCATACTTTGCCTGGATCTGCGCATCTCGCTTCTTTCCAACACGCTCTCCAACGCGATGTTTTTACTCTGCATGCGCAGAGTCTATGTCCAAGGAGCTGGACTCGAAGACCTTATGCCAGCTCCAGTCGAGCCCCTCCCTGGCCGGCAGTGTCACTGGCCTCGGATCGGCGGCCACCATCGCCACGGTGGCAGCGGCGGCGGCACAGCACGGGCCGCCCAGCGGCCTGCCCTCGCCCACGGAGAACGGGCCCGCACTACCACCAGGGATACCGCCATCAGGTACAACTGCAACGCGACAGTACGGTCGTGTGCATGTGGCGCCTGCAGTTAATTACATCTAAAACCTTAGGCCTTAATTAGGTCTAGAGCTGGCGGTGTTGACTCGCGCGTTCACAGGTGACGACATCACGTCCCTATGAGGTCACATTCGATGGCGCAAAACGCCACCACGTGGCAGTGATAAGATAACGACGTTTGGAATGAGCTGATATTAAGTGCTTGTGGTTGCGCGAGACAGTGCGCGAGACAAGGTTTCCAGTGAGGACCAAGCCCAGGTTGGTACACTTAAGCGGAAGACACATGGCAAACATGGGACTACAGCAATAAAGCCCAGAGTTCAGGTTAACGCCGCACGTTTGTACTCGAGAATCGGCCACTCATCCACGGGTGGTCAGCGCGGTATTTTATTTAAGAATACGGTTATTGCATGCAAGTACCGCTGTCTTTCTGGACTGCTGACCACCAAAAGTGTCGTTACAAGAAGACAATGATTTGTCTATATTACATCTACATTTGTTTGGCTGCGTAACCAGCGTGCACTCCATCAATTTAAAAACTTGACTGAAAGAATGTATTACGGAAGCTTACCGCGATAGCGATTCTGGATACCCCTATTGCGTTTTGTTGAAAACACTGCCTTTGTTTTGATGAATGAGATGTCGCAAAACAAAAAGAATAAAAACCTCACTCCTGACTTGTCAACTTAGTAAATGAACACAATTGATTTCTGAGAAACTACCGCAAACGCAACAACATTTGATAGACTGAAACTTGCTGGAACCTTTCAGAACATTTCATCGATTGAAATTAGGATGTTGCCAAACTACCAAAATTGTTCATATGGTCTGAGCATTTCCATTCCTTTATATAGAAGTAACTTGCGCCGAGATGATGTGCGGTTGGTGCTGAAGTTCTTCAGTCCTCCTAAACCACCTTGATCAGGCCGCACTGACTTGTACAAGAATGATTCGTTTTAAGGCACGGAAAAACGCAAACATAGGAGAGGACATGGGACAGAGCGCCCTGTTTTTTGTTCGTGTCCCCTCTTGTGCTGGCATTTTTTTTTTTTTCGCACCTTTGCCCAACAAACAGCTTTCTCAAGGCTTGTACAAATAGTTGAGTTATAACTGCAAGAGATGTGATGACGTTGATTTCACTGACAGCAACGGCAATAGCCATAATGACGGCTTCGGCGGCGGGCGGAGACGAAGAAGTTGACGACGGAGCCCTGGACCCGGAGGAATTCTACGCGGCCATCCCAGAGCCTCCGGACGGTGGCTGGGGCTGGATGATCGTTGCCGCCTCGTTCCTCTGCAACATGGTGGTCGACGGCATCGCTTACACCTTCGGAATCTTCTTCCCCGAATTTGTGGACCACTTCAAGGCACCCAAAGGGACCGTCGCTTGGGTTGGATCATTGCTGTCGGGATGTTACCTGAGCGCCGGTGCGTATCGCTTTCTACACTCTGCTTGCTCTCGACAGCTTTTTCAATGGAGGATATTGAATTCAATAAGAAATAATCAGCCAGCCTTGAGGCTTGAAATTTTGGTTCAGCAGATCCTTTTCAAAATTGTAAAGTTAGCTTTTCTACTATGCACATTGAACAACTGATGGCGGCTAGTCACTGCAAAAAGCTGGTAAGGCGCTCTTCTTGTGCAGCGATGTAAAAAATATACAGCCGGCTCTCTTGGTATAAATACTCATAACAAATGTGACCCTACACGTTCGACTAGGATCGCGTCTTCGCTTGAAGCATGACAGGCACCGTCATTACTTGGGCAAGTATGCTGTGCAGAGAAGCGCACTTTGGAATTACGAAAAGGGTCCATTAAACAATGAAGAGTACACTGTACACACTGCAGGAATTGAGGAAACCATACATTCATGTTAAAGAGGTACATAATTACGTACTCAAGCGGGTTAGGCTAAGACGACAGTAAGGAGGCCCTGAGATGAAACTACAGGTGCCTTCTGCCAATCCCTTTGACCTTGTTCTATTTACATTATCTATTGCTGATACTTAAACACGCATACCCGGTTGCCATGCCATGACAATTCAACGGTGAAGAAACATGTGGTGAATTGCCGCAAACACTTATGTTGTGCATGAGGCTTAACTACCAGAGAAGCAGTTCCGGGTAGCATGAGTGAGAATTTCTTGTAAGTTTTCATAAGACAAAACTGCCAACTTCATGTAACTTTGATAAGCTAAGGCTATTTAGTTGTCTATCGAACTTCGGCACATTTAAAGAATGTGGCAGCGGTCTCTTGCTCAGCGACTGATTAGAGTGCATAATTTTAGTTATTAACTTAATAAAGCAGCAGCTCAGACAATTGACATGGGAAGCAAGCTCTTAAAAGATGCATTAAAGCTTTGGATGCATGTGCAGAAAGAGGGTGAAATAAACAGCCAAAGAAGGTGAGTTTAGAAGTGCAGGTGGGCAGAAATATAGCACAGATTTATATTCAACATTCTTTTTTATACGTAGCACATGCGTGAGTGCATGTAGACTGGTCGCAATGTGGTCTCTTGCATGGGATTGTCGACAGTGACGTCGGCTGCCGATGTGGTTGAGCGAATGTACAAATTCGTCTAGAACTACTAGGTCGCTTGAAGGGATCTTTCAAGTTTTCTTGTTATTCTCATCTTATAGGCTTTCCTCCTTAATATAAGACTGTGTTTTACTAAGTTCTTGTACTTATAAAACAGTGTATTTATTACTATTATTTTTCATTTTAGGCCCCTTGGTGAGTGCGTTGACAAATCGGTATGGCTGCCGGGCTGTGTGCATCGGGGGAAGCATCGTTGCCTGCATCGCTTTCTTGCTTAGCACCATCGTACAGGATGTGGGCAGCCTAATGGTCACATTTGGTTTGATGGCTGGTAAGAAAAATTGAGTTCTTTAGGCTTTTTTGCATTTAGGCTTTTTTGCACTGTGTCATTGCATGAAGTTACACAACTGCATCTACGAAACAATGAAGCCTTTAGTATATCTAAATTGCATTCAGAGTCTAATGTCGAGCCTCTGAATTCACGGCTGTATATTTTAATGATTTTATGTGTCATGAGCATGAAGAAACTTTGACCATCACACGTTTCCTCTAGAATACATAAAGCTAACGATATTGTAACATTCAAACAAGTATAGTATATCACTCACGTGTCTTAAAATGACTGCTAACCTTACCAAACCTCGTAAGTATACTGTGCAAGTAGCAAAGGCAGTGCAATAACATTCTTATACATTTTTTAGTTGACTTATGTTGCCTTCCTGATTTGCGCATCTGATACTTGTTTCTTTATTTTGTCTTTTTTTCTTGTGTGTTATATATGTTGTACCCACCCCCTCTGTAATGCCCTACGGGCCCTGAGGGTATTCTAATAAATAAATAAATAAACAGTTTTTTCTCATTTTGATAAACTTGGTTGACACATTTTAAAAAAATCACAGCATATTCACGGAGTGAATGATTATGAGTGGGGCGAAGCGTCCATCTGTTCGCATGTGTGTCCGTGCGTCCAGATGTACTCATACAAGCACGGATGCACGAACGGATAGACAGATAGATGGAAGCGCGAACGGGCACATGGACGGACACAAGCAAAACGGACATACTGACAGAAAGATGGACGGATGGACGCAAGGACAGACGAACGCTTCGCCCCATTAATCATCATTCACTCTGTGGATATTCTGTCAAAACCGCTAATGCCATCTAGTGATATCACTCCCAAGAACATACACACATTATGCCATCTTTAATAAACTAGAGGTGGCTACATACTACTGCTACTACCGTGGAAGGAATAACTCACAGCCTCAGGAGCTTCGTCTATAAAAGTACACCAATGCACATAAAAATGCACATAGAAAACTCATCATTATGCTCAGAAACTTCATGGATCCACAGCAGTTACTTATCAGCTCTACTATATTGCCTCTGTAAATCGGTATGCACTTACTGCATTTTACAAACATTGTGACCTAACAAAGTTATATTCACTAGATGCTAGCTGGCATATTTTATTCATGAGCCTTATTATGAAGCGAGAGGCATTACCAAGCTGTGTTCGCACCAACGCAGCTTCACTTTGTGTGTTCCTCAAAAAACATTCAAAGTTCGTGTTAGCTTAAATGTTTTCTTGAAAGTTCACCGGCAAGCACGTAGATATTGTCGGAAATGACGATACCGCATTAGTAATAACTCTCTCATTTTTTTGCACTCACAGGTGTCGGCTTCGGTCTCATCTATCTACCAGCCATCGTGAGCGTGAACCAATACTTCTCCAAGAAGCGTGCACTGGCTACAGGAATCGCCGTCTGTGGCTCCGGCATGGGCGCATTTGTGTTCGCCCCTTTCTGTCAGTACCTGCTCACCATCTTCAACTGGAAAGGGGCACTCATGATTCTGGCCGGCCTGTCGCTCAACTGCGCCGTGTTTGGCGCACTCATGCGGCCGCTCCTCGCATCGGACAACCCGCAGACTAAGCCGCTTCTGCAGCGGATCTGGGAGGAAAAAGAGCGGCAGCGGCAGGACTCACTCTGTAACAGCCAGTTCTTCTTGGTGCAGCACGCGGACGGGACCATTGAGAAGAGGCAAAAGCTGCTCTTGAACACCGAGCCAGGCGTCCACTCGACACTGTACCTGGACCAGTGGGGCAAGTCTCCTATGGACACGCCAGTCATCACGCTGTCCCCCATTCAGGAGGCCAGGCCATCCCGCATGGGCTCAAAGGAAGACCAGAACGACGATTCTGGAGACTCAGGAAAGGAGAATGGCAGCACTAAAAAGGGTTCACCACGACAGGAAACGGCGCCGGCAACCACGGAATCCGAGAAAGATGCAGGGCAGCAGCAGTCAAACGTCGACGACGAGAAGACAGTCACAGAGACAACCCAGATGATTCCTTCTGAACAAGACAACCAGGCTTCCGGTAACCAGCCAACACCGAATGGCCACGTTGTGAACGGTGGTCCTGCAGTTGCGGCTCCGACGGCTGTATCGGCCATTCAGGAGATCGCCAGGCGCAAGGGCATCATGTCTTCCAGGAGTGCCACGAAGCTGTGTCTGTCGAACATTACCATGGGAACTGAGATGCGTAGGAACAGCTCGTCTCCTCGCATGTCTTCGAGCGGCTATGTGTACACGGGCGCAGCGAGCCGGCCACACGGCCGTCTCACTACGTCTGGCGAGGTCTGGAAGCGCGTGTCGCAGGAGACTGTGGCTGGCGGACCGCGCCAAATTCAGAAGGCAAAGAAAAAGGACATCGCTCGACCCATGTATCGCAAGGATATATTCTACAGTGGAAGCGTAGTCAACCTTCCAGAGTATCGTCTGTCGCAGGGTGACGTTCGTTCTTACGTCGCCAGCGTATTGACCATCCCAGCAACAGACACCATCCCGGCAGCCAGCGGTGTGGATCTTCCAGATGGCAAGCCTGCGGCAGGTTCTTTTTGTCCACCCTGCTTGCGCCTGCCAGCCTCCATGACTGATACCCTCGCCGACATGCTAGACATGGAATTGCTCAAGAACCCAGCTTTTGTTTTGGTCTGCGTCTCAAACATCGTTGGCATGATGGGTTTCTGCATACCTTTCATGTACATCGCTGACTCTGCCATGCTTAAAGGCATCGACAAGGACAAGGCCGCCTTCCTTCTTTCGCTCATCGGTATCACAAACATGATTGGACGTCTCATCTTCGGATGGCTCTCGGACTTGCCCCAGATCAACTGCCTACTACTCAACAACCTTTCCCTCTGCCTGAGCGGTATTGCTGTGTTCATTCTGCCTTTCTGCTATTCCTACCCAGCCACCGTGGCCACGTGTATGATCTTCGGATTAATTGTCGGTGAGTTTTACGCTGTATACAGGATCACACATTATCTGTATACTTTGCTATCATGACTGATAACCAAAACACCCAGTATTTTCGAAGTGACCCTCTACTACCGTGGCACTTGTAAGTAATGTTAAAAGCAAGGATCAGACTAATAAGCATGCGCTGTTTTATACTTATTTCTTAAGGCTGAAGATACCACTTGTAACAGTGGTAATTAGTTTTGCAGTGTAGTCGCAAACATTTAAATAACTCAGGATGGTAAATGTGTGATGCTTTCATCCAAGCAAATAGTAAAAGGGTGCAGCTCCTCAGCCACGTGATGCTTTCATCCAAGCAAATAGTAAAAGGGTGCAGCTCCTCAGCCACATGCTGTAAAAGAGCAGCACTTCTTATATTCTTTATTTATTCAAAGGTTACCCCACATTGCCCAAAGGCGTTACAGCAGGGGGGTTACAGAAAGGACAAAAACAATTCTTTATTCTTACAGCACACTTGCATGGCAGACAATTCGTTCCGCTCTATAACAGTTCTAACAAAAAATGAATTCGCGGACAGGGGGTGACAAAAACAACATAAACAATTCTTCGTTCTTACAGCACACTTGCATGGCAGACAATCCATTCCAATCTTTAACAGTTCTAACAAAAAGTGAATTCGCGAACAGGTTCGTCCGGGTGCATAATTCTCCTATTTTAAAAACATCGTGAGTTTTAAATAAACAGTAATGAGGTTCCTTAAGGTATTTTTCTTTATTAATTCCTGTTTTATCATCATATATCTGAAAAAAGAACTTCAGTCACAGCTTTTGCCAACGCGAGGAACGCAGTTCCCACCCAAGCTCATTTTTCATCTGAGTGTAGCTTTCTCCTCTCTTCTACCGTCCCAAGACGAACCTGGCCGCCCGGTTTTGAATTTTTTCAATTTTATCAATCAATGTGGCTTGCAAAGAATCCCATACGGCACAAGCGTATTCCAGTATAGGTCGTATGCATGTTAAATAGGCTGTCTTCTTTAAATTCAGTTCCGAAGTTTTTAAATTACGTTGGATAAAGTTTAGCACCTTTGCAGCTTTACAAACCACATCATCTACATGTTCATTTATATGCCTACATATAAAGCACATCTATTGGATAAGGGACACACGTTTTTCCATGCATGTGCTAATATTCTCGCTCGTAGGTTTAGAGATTCATAAAGACCACTTGAGAAATTGAGTAATAGGCTAGGACCTTTTGACTGCACTGTAGCGAGAACTTCTTAAGCAGGCCACAATAGAGCTCCATTCTTGCTTTTCTTTTCAGCTGCTTATATTTTGCTCACATCAATCATACTCGTGGAGCTCTTCGGTCTGGACAATCTGACGAACTCTTTCGGCTTACTCAGCCTGTGCAGAGGAGCAGCTTGTATGGTTGGACCTCCTCTAGCAGGTAAATATTCTTGTTACCATTTCTCTACCATTAGCATTATTTACGAAAATGAAATGTGCAAACAGCACATGATGGCCAAGGTCCGGCAGGGAAGAAATATAGTTTGCGACGGATTGTCAATGATAGCTAAACATCCAAATATAATTAGTTATCGCAACCGGGCTCTCACTCTTCACATTGGTGGTAACGCGATCGTTCTACAGGCGACCTTTTCTTGTGACTGGATGATCAAGTGCCTTTAACTTCATTACATAAATTTGATATTGGGTAGCAAAAGAACGAAATAAGACATTGCGTGGCAGAGTTTCAAAACGGCTAATTAAAATAATCGGAAAAATTTACCAGGCCTACGAAGAGAACGCTGCTTCTCTTAGTTCCGTTGCTATAGGGCAATGTAGTCTATTACAATATCGACGTCTTCAGACTCTGCTCACATAGTACCACTCACCGTACCTTAGATGCCGGAGATTTTTTTCTCTGCTGTTTTAGACAAAAAGCTTTAAGTTTCTAGCACGACTGCTCTCACTTCCAACTTACAATATAAAGTATGAGGTTGTCCATGTCTGGACAAAACAGCTATTTGATGGTCAAGCGAGCACGACCTCTACATTTACCCTCTATAGTCGTAAGCTCGGTCAGCACAACTCTAAACGATTAATTTCTCTACATGTCAAAATAAAATCTATGCTATATCAAATACGACGCTTAGTTGGGGATTCTCTCCTAACTGTTGACAGCCCTATACATAAGTGTCAGACAACCACCAAAATACAGCCATGGTAAAACTTTTGGTGTCCTTGGCTACTTATAGGTTAGGGGACAACAAGGGTTCTCGTCTCTCTTGCCCCCTTTTCACCATGGTGATCACTAAGAATAGAAATAAAGGTATAATTGTCCGCAGATTTTTCACCAAGTCAGATTGTTTTTTTTTTTTTCAATTACTGTACATTTCTTGTCACTTCAGTGCTTCTAGGTAGTATACAGTACTCTCGCATTAATTCACATTTTGATAACTCATACTTTCGATTCATACAAACAAAATTCAATTGTTTGGTTGGCTTTCTATTCTTTCAGTGCATTTAAAAGCCTCTTAATTCAATCTCCATCATTCAGTTAGTTCATACATTTTGGTGTTTCATACCAGAAAATATCTGTTGCTTTCTCACTATTATTGGGAAATTCGGGTATTTATATAATCCCAAGAGCCTAAAAATTAGGAATAGGTATCCCAGTACTTCAAGGGAGAAGACTTTACTAGTAAATAAATGTTTGAAATGAAGCACATGCAAGGTAAACCATGGTGCTTTTTAACTGGTATGGAGGGTTTTTTGCTGAATCCACATACAGCAAAGAAACAGTTGGTGATTCTCGATTTTTTGAGGTGTAATCAATAGTAAATGGCTGATAAAGTTGCAGACCTCACACTTCAGCTTTCTGTTCATTGCATGCAGTAGGAGTTTAAAAATGCCTAAACAAATTTTGAATGGGATAAAATCAATGCTTAAGTGTAATGTGTGGTGTCACCTCACCCACAGTCATATATCTGAGAACATCTGAAAATTCAAACTTCTTGATAATTAAAACAAAATTCAGAGGTTCCTTTGAGTTTAAATTAATGAGAGTCAGCCGTATGTGATGAAATCTGTGAATATGTGAAGAATTTTTAAAAGGGGTTGCCGCTGCAGTCAAGGTTTTGACAAGTGGCTTTGTCTTCAAGACAAGACCACTTCTCGAAACATCAAATCCAACAACGTTTGCTGTTTATTTAACAATTCTTTATCACTTCAAGCCTCTGCTTTTCCTTGAACATGCATCTTGTTCGAAAGCTTGTGAACGTTACTCGGGGATCTCTCGAGATGTGCTTGTGTATGAGCCTGCTTCAATTCTGGAATGTTCCCCGAACGTCATGTCATATTCCGTTCTTCCCTGATTCTCTTCCCTTTATCGCATACTGCAGGTACCCTGTTCGACATGACGGGCTCGTATGACGTTCCTTTCTTCGTCTCGGGCACCATGCTCATCGTGTCTGGCGCCATGTCCTCCTTCATACCGTGTGTGCGGAACACGGCCGTCAAGCCGGAACCGTTGCCCGACATCGCCTCTCCTCTCGAAGAGATCCCCGAGGAAAGCGACGTGCCCGAAGATGAGGAAGAGAACGTCGAGAGCATCGTCTAAAGCAAGAATTGTCCCATTCGATGACGGTACATTCTTTTGCGCGCTTTGTTGCGGCTCCTGTCCAGCTCAACGCCTCCTCTCAAAGTGACGCCTGTACTGCGCAGAACTCACTCGCTATTTGACACTGAGTTGGTCGTAGCGGCGCCACTCGCAGGTGAATTATGGGCGCATTGATAGAACAGTGAGAGCCCACGAATAAGAAAAGATGACCGGTGATTGAGACACAAACATCTCGTTTCCCGGTGAAAACTAAGCGACATGACTTTTGTCTCTTGGCTCCGAGAGCAACCCGATTTCATCCTGTCACCAGTACTCGGCGCCACCTCCTTTCTTCATTTGATAGGTTGACTTTCTTGTGGTCTTCGTTCATCTCTCCTACGTGCTTGCAGCAACCACATCACATGTTGTGCTTTTCTTCAGCGTTGCCCCTTCTTCACATCCAAGCCTAAAACGCCAAGCGCCGAGCTGGGCTGCGCGAAGAAGCCAACCGAACCAAAGCCATTTTCATCTTTCCTAATGCGTCCCGGAGCCATATGTACTCATTCATTGCACTGAAAGCGACTCGTCAGACAGAAAAACAAGGTGCAGTGGAGAGAGTTTGGGTGCTCTTTGGCTATTCGGACGTCTACGTGTAAGTGATGCTACGTACGTTTTAGTGCGCGCTTTAATGAGAGGCGATTATTTTCATGGCTTTGAGAAAGTGCGCACAGAACTCTTTCATTTTTCGTGCATTTCTGTGCTGGTGCGTGCGTGTGTAGTGTCAAGGTGCCATGCTCTGATGACAAGTGGTGGACGTAGCGAAGATGAAAAAAGAAGGGTTCGCCCTCTTTATGAACTATTTGCTCTTCTGTCATCGAGCACCACTGTTTGTGACAGCGTTTGATCGTCGTTGTGTTTTCTGAAAGCGACAGAGGTTGGAGAACGGGGTGAAAATATGTCTTTCGATTAAGCTTTAAGGCTGTGCATGCGGCACCCTCCTCGAGCTTCAGATCGTGTGGACCATTGAGAGAGTAAGAAGAATGAAAGAGAAGATGAGAAGTTGAAGCATTGAAGGAACGTTTGGTCACGTGTCGTCGAAGACGTCTGAAAGGATATAGGAACTTCTTTTTGTTGTAAGTCGCCATCCTGCTTCAGACACTGCGCGCTTGTTTGTGTTTAGTTATCTTCTCGTCGAAGAAACGTGTGACTTTTGAAGAGGACATCAAGCGCTCACTCTGCGGACAATGCGCGGAGAGTACTATGTGCAGTGATGGCAGTGGTGCGCCCATGTGCATGTTCTCTTTTACACTTATGTGTCATTTCATTTTTCTTTCAATTCTCTTCGTTATCTCGTCCATTGGGTCCTAAGACAAACACATATGATGCACAAAGAAACGAAACAGAAGAGACGTGTGAGGGGAACCCCCCCCCCCCCCCGAGTTTATCGTCGGCCTAAATGACGCATTCCAGTGCACAACGGAACTTATGGAAGTGAACTTGCTTCGCTTAAGATAAAGGGAAGTAAAATATTTAAAAACGGATGTGTCGTTTGTCGCATCCACAGGCGTAATACACAACTCAAGATTGTAGTCACCACATATCTGTGATATATGCTCCTTGGCCCGACAGCTAATCGCTACACCGCAAGACTCTGTAGACAACAACTATGGCGTGTTTGTTCGTAAAATTCAAGAAAACCACAGTAATTTTTGTCCTTATTTTTTCTCGTAGCCAAACATGTAGCCAAAGTTGCCACTGTGCGGACATAGTGTTATGACTGCTCTTATCTTTAGCGCTGTGTCCTTTTCGCGGAGGGAAAAAATGCAAGGCTTTTTGTTTCTTCTCCTGCATCCCATGTCCAGCTGTCTCTTTAATGTTTTGAACTATAGGACCATCATAATTCATTGTCTATATAGTGACTAGTTAAGAAAGCAGACCTAGACTTGAAAATCTGTTTCCAATGAGAGAACACATGTGTGTCCTGGAGAGACATTCCAAAATGCGTGTTAAGCTCACACCCTATTTCGGAAAAAAGAAAAAACTGTGGGAGCTATACATGTTGTGAAAGTAAATACAAGCTCTGTCCTTATTGCTACTATTTTGCCTTGAACACAGTGCTATAAGTTCTTTAGTTTGGGTAAGTTAGTGGCTTTGCTTTCTCTTGCTCAGCGAACTGCAGTTGACGGAATTGTGCCGATAGGACGGTGAATGGTCCATGCTGCAGTATTTATCATGGCTGGTTTGAAATAGGTAGCTTGGTAGCTCATAAAGCCAAAAAAACATTTCGTGGAACCCAGTTTCTTGAATACATCTTAGTTTTATCTGTAATTACGACAGCGTAAAAACTCACTTGCTGTTAGCTAAAGATTACTACATTTAGCTAGCAAGCTTTCAGTTTAAGAAAGTTTTCTACGATGAAGTGATGGCAAAATACTCGTACAAACTTGTAAGATACTATTGGCATACCAACTTTCTTTTGTCTGTATTGTTTGGTAGCTTATGGCAAGTTATTGACATTGTAGTTCAATTAATCAACGATTACACGTGTGATCTATCCAACAATGCATCAATTTAAGTTTTCATTCACATTTGTGAAGTGAATGAAAACTTAAATTGAAGCTTCCAGCATCACAATTCTAGTGAGTGCTGACCAAAAAGTCGTTGTGGATCAAAAATACAGGAAAGATACTGAAGCACACCAACGAACAGCCAAAGTGCAGTATGTTTTGCCGTCTCGATTTCATAGGACCTGTGGTAGGGGCCAGATGGGACACTGTTACGTTCAAAAACAGCTTTGCGGCATGTTGTGATGGCGCTAGCGTAGGTTCTCATAGGGTTGCGCAATGAGGGGCAAGGGACCCAGGTTTGATGCACTTGGAAGTGAATTCGCTTTTTTTTTCTCAAGGCATACGCCCGATGCAGCATCATTAGGTCGAGTGCAGCTGTACGAGAGAACGCGTACGTATGCGCTTTTTAGAAAACATATATAAACAGCGCTGTCCATTTTGCAACGCCCACAGACATACGACACACATACACAGACACAACACAGACGGTGCAATCAGTGCTGCTTGCGCTAACGCTCGCAGGTGTGAAGAGATGGCCTTGAATCGACTCCTTGGGTTGCAAGTTCACCTATATAGCCTTTTAAAGTACTAAATGACAACAGAGTGAACGCTGAGATCCTTTTTTTCTCCGCAGCTCTTAGAAACAAAATAAAGCTGTTATTTGTTTACGCCCTATACAGGTGTGACGAAGCTTTATTATTCTTGAGAACACTGAGTGTTGCCCTGGTGGTGGAGTGATTCGCCCGAGCAAAGCTCTGTCAGTGCCGATACGTACTTCATTGTTCCTTTAACGCTTGATGGACGTGCACATATTGTTTAAGTCCGCAACTACGTAGCAGCCGTATTGGAGGTGCACGAGCGATGCCAAAAGGCACGATTCTGGTTACATGCTTGTTTGACGCGAATGTATGCACTGCGCATATTAGCAGGTGCACCCAATCCCCAGTGGCCTCGAAATAATGGCATCATCGACTTCATCATGCAACACTGTGGCTGCTTTCAGGCAAGTATGGTAAAATGAAGATGCCTAGTTAGAAGCCCGATGTACAGCACACATTATGTGATTCAAAGTTGACACTCAACGAGGCAGTGTGCTCAGTACGTTACTTTCAAGAATTGTGATTCACTTTATTTCACTACAATTGACACGTTAATAACAAAGATCTAGACCAAGGAGAGGGGGGAAAATGTACCATTTATATTGAGGAATATCAGCACAAAAGCTGCAACATCTACAGCTTGACTGACCACGCCATTCCGTCACAATGGCAGCGACGCCCAGCGCGCGCAGCCTTTCTCTCACTGCTGTCACATGACAGGCAAGATTGGTGTGCAAGTTGAAAAGTACACTTGAAATCCTAAATAACACTTTGCGCGGATGTGGGACTCGCTACAGCAATGCGCAAGTGTCGCTCGTCCCATTCGCCCGAACAGTCCTTCAATCATGGCTTTGTTAGAAGCGTATTACGGAGTACACCGGAGGGAGTTCCTTTGAGAAGCGTTTCTGTTCAAGGATATCAGGAACGTTTCATTCATACGTTCTAGTCTTCGTGAGTCCAGGGGCGGTATTCTTACCTCGCAACCACAGATTAGATAAGCTCATATCTCTAACGAGTGAAGTGGCCTTCAATTATGAAAGTATGACCACAGACCTCTCGTCGACTGGGTCTTTTTTTTTTTTTCAACATAGTTGCTAGATCTGGAATGCGGTAAATGTGTCGATGACGATGTCAAAAACCTGGCCCATCAGAAAATTCGTACGCTTAAAGGAAGAACGCCAAAGAAAACAGACAAAAAATATTGTGCGTTTCGTTGTCATTAGAAGACGTGACTAACCGGCTGGGGATTAGGCTAGAACCGGCTAAAGTCACTGTATATGCTACCTTTAGGTAGCTGATTAGCGCATTTGTTTTCTAACTCCACTAGCAACCATGCGCTGGGGAGAAGCTGGTGCACAGGCCGCACCTCCAGAAGCGGTTGCCGTCCCCCTGCAATCAAGTGACCGTCGCGCGTTCTGTAGCTCGTTCACTACGCGCTGGTGGTTTTATTTCCTTTAGACTCATGTCCTTAAGCTTCGACAGCAAAGTATTTGCATGTACTCGGCACCATTTCCGAAAAAAAAAACATACTGAAATAATCAGTGCTGCAGGCTTAGTGGGGCGCTCATTGAATCTCGAAGGAGTTATATTTTATGTTTGTGAGTCTTTGCTTACCTTACATAGTTGGCGCCACTTGACCATGCGGCCGTAGCGGTGCATATGTTATTCGGCAATACGCTACGACTTGGCGCTGTGCGTTACCAAAGAGACTAAAAAAAATTCTTTTGAACTGCTGGGGCCCGGTCCCGAAACTAGGCGTTTCTTCTTTTTTCGCTGGTCGTTGACACGCTATAGGCACGTCGAGTGGCAATCGGCGACAGACTGTGAAAACAGAGCGCCTGCGAAAACAGAGCGTGGCTTCGCCGCGTAACTATGGTTGCTAACCAGGCAAGATGACGGACCTATGCGTTACTCTGCTCCCGTAGGGAGTATATATATACAGTGACTCTAGAAGCGGCATGCTATTCGTGCCATCTTTTGAAGATTTTAGCTAACTTCGAGATGTCGTCAAATACGAAAAGAGAGATGTTGACGGACGTTGCTTACCTTGACCAACAATAGAACCCGCTGCCAGATCATCACAGACCACAGCAACAATGCCTGCACAAATGTCACCATGCAAAAGAGAGTGAGAGACCATTCACATTGAAAATTGCAAATAGGGGACGTGAGAGCATTCGAAAGTTTTAAGCATAAACAAAGTATGAAAGTTGGGCAATAGAAAAAAGTAGGTACGTCGGTCCATGTTGCGCAGCTTTCAGCTACTTTACTTGAGAAGGGACATCACGTGATGCTTCAGTGGGTATACCAAGTCGGTGCGGGGCGATAGGCAGGGAGCATAAGCCGACAATGCTATACTTGATCAGCCCTTGAAGGCAGCACGCTCGAGAAAATACCCCTGTCAAGGATCGAGCTTGCTAGCCAACTTCGAGCTGCCGCACGATAAATTACTATCTCCACTTGGAATATGCCAAGTAGACTGCATAGACAATACCACCACTGCCCGAACTTCTTATGTTTTCAGACAACTACTTGACTACGACGAAATGACGTTACTCTGCTTTGTCGTTTATGGGTGAGAGTGGCTTTCATGAAGTCATTCTCCGTTCGAATCGAAAAGGCTGACAACCCTTTTCGTGACAACTGAGGTAGCCAAGAGACATGATAGCACATCTACTGCGGGCGTCCTCTTTACAATGCGCCGAGAAAATCACTCGCAGTCGCTCTACTTTGCATAAATCACAGACCGATGATGACAGAAACAATTTTGTAATATTGGCCTGACAGCAGATCTTCGGGATCTATGGATCATAACTTGGCTGGAAAGTTTATGTTATTAGTATGGCCTGAGAGGCTATATCATCCCTTCACTTCTGGAAGACAGCAGATCTGGGCCGGTGGTTATATACTAATGGCGTTGTCATGACTGCGATGTGTGACTTTGTGCTTGCGTGCCATCCCCCCCTCTCTATCTTTAAAACTCCCGCATCCCTTTTCTGTGCAGTGTAAAATATACGGCATACTGCTCCTTTTAGACTGGGTAACACGCCTTGCTGCCTTTCATTTCTCTCTTGCTGCTATAATGAGCCAACTGTGGTACGGCAATACGTTTCAGCCAGTCATCCTTACGGAATCAGAATATCATTAAAGTACTTTTGGGCACTTCAACTTTAGGGGTGGGGTAACGAAATTTTGAAGGGGATCTTGTATTGACTGTTCTGCATAGCTGGTGGTGTTTCTAAAAACCCTCTTTCCCACAGCGGACGCATGGGCACCAAGAAGCTGACAAGTAAAACAAAATATATGTTCTCTCCGGGGTTTAAACGCGGGTCCCGCGGCCCGAAAGTGAGAACCTTAAACACTCGGCCACATCCTCAAGCTTCGCCAAAATTTATTTAGAGAAAGGCAGAGAGGTCGGTTTGAGCGGCAGTTTGCTTGGCCAGCTACTCTACACCAGATTGCGAAAGGCACTCCCACAATAAAGCAATGTCCAGGAAATGACCCGCAAAAAAAGAAAAAGTTTCCATGAGTTGGAACCTCAGAAGCTTCAAACTTGCAACACCACTCATCCGACAAGTCGGGCACATTCGTTTCCGTCAACAGTCATCGGTGCGACTATTTATGTTTACATTCGCCGGGGAAGTGATCATCATCAGTCTGACTACGTCCACTGCAGGACGTAGTCAGACTCTCCCATGTTCCGCCAGTCAATTCGGTTCTCTGCTTGCTGAATGCTGCCATTTTATACCCGCAAACTTCTTAACCTCATCTGCCCACCAAACGTTCTGCCTTTCCCTAACCCGCTTGCTTCTCTGGGAATCCAGTACCCTTAATTTAATGACCAGCGGTTATCCTGTCTACGCGCTACATGGCCGGCTCATGTCCATTTCCTTACACCCTTCTTGCCTTACACCCGATTGGTATTCTGTTGCTTTTTTATGAAGCACTGTGGTAGCAGTTGATCCCCTGTAGATTTCTTCCAGGATGTTTATATATGCTTCATCGACGTCCTGATTTCGCAGTGTCTGCATGACTGCTGATATTTCTACTGAATCAAACGCCTTCTCGTAATCCATGAAGGCCATGTATAGTGGTTGGCGATATTCAGAGCATTTCTCTATTACCTGATTGATAGTATGAATGAGGCCGATTGTTGAGTAGCCTGTTCGAAATCCCGCTTGTTCCTTTGGTTGATAGAATTGTAATATTGTCTTAATTCTGTTAGCAATTACCTTTGTAAATAGCTTGTATACTATGGAGAGCAAGCTGATCTGCCTGGAGTTCTTCAAGTCTTTGTCATCTCCTTTCTTATTTATTAAGATGATGTTAGCATTCTTTCAAGATTCTGGTACTCTTCCCCTCACCCTCAGAAGACCCTCGTAAACAGGGTGGCTAGTTTTTCTAACACAATCTGTCCTCCATATTTCAGCAGATCTGATGTCACCTGATCCTCACCAGCAGCTTTGCCTCTTTGCATGCTCTCCAAAGCTTTTCTGACTTCTTATGTCATTACTGGTGGTGGTAGGGATTATAACGAGCTTCAAAACAGAGGAAAGACAAGTGTAGCTTCGCGTGACGTTCGCGGTGCTTTTGACGTCACTCCCACTTTCCTCGGTGCCCACGACGACGACGGAACATAGTTCATTCCAAACAGTGCAGAAACAGGACACAGATGAGAGCACACAACACAATACTGTGTCTGCGCTGTTTGAAAGAAATATGTGTACGTACCAATAAACCCGCTCAACCACCATTTTGACGACGAAACTACGCCAAGTTTGCTGCGAGGCTAGAGCTGTCAAGGAGTCCAACACTTTTAGAAAAAAAAAAAGTTAGTAATCAGTTAGTAAACGCGTGTGTTTACAAGTTTCCGGGGCATTTTACTACCTTCGCGGCGTACTTCTACTAGCTACCAGCTAGTACAGCTAGTAATTTTAGCCGTTACTAACCAGAGAACCTTTCTTAGTATTTTTAACTAAGGAACTACTAAGCCACCTACGTTGCCAGATCGGCCGTAGGTGCCGCAGTACATTTGCCGTAATAGTGACATCGTAAGCGATATTCAGGCAAGCTCTA